GGAGTACTTTTTTATTTATTTTATTTATTATTTATTTATTTATTTTATTTATATCCCGCCTATCTGGTCGGGCGACGACCTCTCTACTTTGAGATTTGTATGGTGCTACTCTTCTGCCACTAATAGAATAACTCACTTCCTATCTCATAACATCAGCTGTAGAGTTAGATCTGTGTTCCCAATAACTTTTGACATACCAACAGTTATTATTAGAGATGGGGGTATTTGTATTCATATACGAATCCCCCTGCACAGCTGGACATAACAGGGCCGGACCGTCCGCTCATGCATCCACTGCTTCTGCCGGCTCTGCTCTCCTTTCCAATTGCTCCAGAGCTCGTGGTCGACTAGCCACTTGTCAGCCTGGCAGGGATATTCATCTTCCCTCCTTCTGACAGGAGTGGCTAGTTGACCGCAAGCTCTGGTACGATTGAAAGGGAATACAGAACCACCGGCGGCAGCGGATGGAGCATGGAGCATTATTTCCACCTGTGTGTGGCTATTCGTATTCATATACAAATATGAATACCCCCATCTCTAATTATTATTATAACTTTTGTGTGCACTAAAGGGCTTAGACCTAAATTTTGTTGAAACCAGTAGATTTTGAATGCAGGTTCCAAGAATTGGGGTCACGAAGAGTTGGACATGACTTAACGACTAAACAACAACAACCAAGAATTGGATAGAGCTGTTTTTCTTTCTTCAGCTTTGCTGCTACCTGTAAAATATTTTCTCTGTTTGCAGATTTTGCTGTTGATCATCTTGGGCCTCTCAGGCTAAGCCAGATTTTAGCCTTCTCAACAGCTAAAATCTCCCTCCCCCAGTCTCCTTTTAATCCAAAACAAACCAGAGAAAAACATTATCCCAGGCACTCTGTGTTAGTCTCCGTAGAAGACTTTGCTTGCATAGACAAATAGGGATACAATTAAGTTCCCATTCATTCTCAGTTCTGGCTCAAGCAGCTGTGTCCATCATCACTTGGTAAGTAGGCCAGCCCTTCCATCCATGTCCTGGCATTTTCTGTGCACCTGATAATAAGAGCTGTGAGCTTATTTAAGGGAACAGCATTTTTCTGGATAGAAGTTGCAGAGGACATTTTCTGTGAATTCTAAAGCTTCTTGCCTGAAAAGGGGATCCTTACATTGAAGCCTTGTTTTGAAAGCCTGCTGTGCTCTAGTCCAGCTCCCACAGGGCATTTGAGAGTTCACTGTGCCCCTGTGCATGGTTAGTTTATTTGTGGGGGCCACAACTTAAACCTGAAGGAAAACAGAGACGGGAGTATGATGTTTTCCTGTGGCACAGTAAGTCCTGTGACAAGTCATGGCAAAGTGATTGGATTAGTGAAAGGCTATGCAGCATTTAACCGATAAGTCCCAGAATAAATGAACATCAAGGACTGAATGTTTCAAGATTAATGGGAGTTGTCTAATAATAGTCATGGAAAGGACATGGTTGAGGTCTTAATGAATGTCCATGAAGTTTGTTGCTAGACTGGGGGAAAACTGAGGTTGAAGTAGAATAGTATTCTCCTAAAAACATCACCATCTCTGAATAAAGACTAGAATCTCCATTACACGATATCTGCCTTTATCAAGTGCCTCAAACACAGAAGGTGAGAATCTTACCTAGTTATCACCTTTTTCTTTCTATATGCTTGAGCCATTGAAACCTAGGTGCTGAAATGTTGTGTTCACAAGTGTAGTGCAAAGGCCTATCAGGTACTAAGGATGCATGAAGAATCTTTCGTGAATTTCTTGTGTGGACTTGTGCTGGGCCATACAGCAGTGAGTGGTTTGGAGTCCAAAGCACTTTTTAATTCCAGAATCCATCCATTGGTGGATTGCTATGGATGCAGCGGATAAAATACATCTGGAAAGTTATTTAGAAGAAGGTGCACACCATTTTAGCGCAGAAAAGGCATACAAGCCATGTGTCTGACTTGAAACACATTTTCAAAAAATACATCTCCAAAAGGAATGGACTTCATTACGTACATTGTTTAAACAACAAAATGACACTAGAGGGAAGTAGGCATGGACCTGCAGTCTTAGAAGGAAGACTGCAGGTGCAAACTGGATGAGGAGGACATTCCTGTCATAGATACAGAGGCTGCATCTGGTGGGGGTGCACTATCTTCTTCCTCCTTTCAGCTTCCTCTTTGAATGAAGTAAAAGGAATCAAAATGCGAGCTGTGTTCTTTAAAATCTGTCATCCCTTTTCCATTGGGACTCTCTCTTCAAGACTATAGAGAGAGTAAACTTGCGTTACGTCTTCCATATTCTTTCTGTTTTGTCTCCCACCAATAGCAATTGGTGGCTTCTCTGTATGCTGCAGGAAAGTCAAGTGTCTTTCCCTTTTGTGCCAGGCTAAATGCTCGTGCTACGAGCGCTGACAGAGGAGAGAGAAGGGGAGGGTAGGTTTATGCTCTGTTTTGAACTGATTGGAGGTTTAGTTGGTAGTTTCCAACCAACCCATTCTGCCCCTGTTCTTCCACATCTTGGAGTTCCCCTACTTATGATGCATTCTCTCTGTTCTCTTTCTTGAGGAATCCATCTCTTAAAAGAGAACAGTAACTATGATATGAGCTATAAAGTTGGTTCTGACTTGACGGCACATAACAACAACAAACTAGAGAGAAAATCTCATTGCATTATTTCAAGTTTTCACCCCTCATGCTATGGTACCCACCTTGACTGTGCAACGTGTACTAGGCACCATGGCCTCTATGACTTCAGTATGTCTCAAGATGAGATCTCTTCAGTTGTGGTTTCTCACCCTCTTTGACCCGCTCACAGACCCTCCTCACACTCTTTAAGGGTCACCCCAGAACTCGCCTCCCAACTTCAGTGGTGGCGTTTTCCTCCCAACCTATCTGTTGGGCAGCCGTTCCAACAACCACGACCACAAGTACAGGTCACCACCGACATCAGCCTCACAGGCTGGGGAGCTCACAGCAAATCTCTCAAAATCCGCACCAAGTGGTCTTCCAGAGAGGAATTGCTTCACATCAACGAATTAAAGCTGTTGGTGGTTATAAAAGCTTGCAAAGCTTTCAGAAATCTCCTGGCTGGCAAGATGGTACAAATTGCCACTGACAACACCATGGCGATGTACTATATTCTGAAACAAGGTGGCACCCACTCTCCTCTATTTAGCGGTCAGCCTCTGAGAGTGGTGCCTAGCACATCATATCTGCCTCATGGCTTTACACATTTCCGGCCACGACAACGACTTGGCCGATCTACTCAGCTGCACAACTCTCAAGCTCATGAATGGGGGTTAGACCAATCAGTTTTTCTTTGCCTAAGAGAACGATGGGGCAAACCAACTCTCGACCTCTTCGTCTCCCGTGTGAATCGGAAGTGTAAATGATACTGCTCCCCAGCCGGCATTGGAAAACACTCCCAAGGAGATCCATTAATTTGTTCATGTATTAATTAGTTAATTAATCTGTTTATGTATTAATTAGTTAATTACAACAGTGAGCCCTTTCTCCCCTGAGTTCAAGGCTCAGTATTCCAGTACTCAATACTCCACCTCCTCCTTAGTCTGATACATGAGATGCAGGTCGGGTTGAGAAAGAGGGACTAGTTCAAGATTATGTTTCT